GAATAGCAGGTTAATACCAACAAAGTCACCACTTAACGGGACTGAGGTGCCTTCCAAACCTTGTCATGGTGCTTTAAAGGTTGCTCCTAGTGGGACATTGACAGGGGTGGAACTTCCCTCCTCTGACTTTCTAACATAGAGGCACCTTAGGGATATAGTAATTATACTAACAGCCTTTGCCTCTTTCGCTGGGGCCTGGGTTCAGGCAAGGCAGCGTACGTTTGAAATCGGAAAATGAAATCAAACGCCGAGCTCGAGTTTCAACCAGTGACTCTTCAGTTCACTTATGACACAACTTCCGAAAACAATGCTGAGGCACGTGACTGAGACAAAGATAAAAATGTGCCTGCCAATAATGAACATAATGAAGTCGCTGATATATGCAATTTAGACAGATATGGCTTTGTGAGACATGCTCATGAATTCTAAGCAGAATTTTTGTTGCTTTTGAGGCAGAATGTTTTTATGGGCGTCAATTTGCATGCTGTAATTATTTTCGAGGGCTAGATCTATTTAGAAGCGGGAATAAATTTAACGAAGTCCTCAAAACAACCTACTACTGTTGTGCAGCTCTTTATGGACTTGGAAAATACAAAAACAATTAATTTGGAGATAGAGTACAAGTGAAGACCAAATTATTTCCGCAAAACCTGGCAACAGTTCCTGACTGTCTGGTATGCTTCCCACCAGAGCTGTTATGTTGACTGGTCGAGTATCAAACTTCAGTTCTTCCACAAGCTCTAATAAACTCTTAACAGGTCACTATGAACTCGTGCCAATGAGGAAAAATTATTTCAGAGCCGAGTCATCGATGGTAAGGCTATGCATTTTATTGAAAACCCGGAGCACGGGTTTTTTAAAAAGAAGATTCGAATTATTTGACATTCTGACATAGCTATTGATTATTTCTTATTTTGAAGGAGAAAGAAACGATAGCCTCACAACATTACTGAGTGTCAAAGAAGCTCCTTTGTAGAAACCGAGGTTCTCGCTCACAGCTGGGATAAGTGCAGACTTGTAAAGAGATCATTCAGGCAGTTTCACCGCCGGCTGTAATATAGCACTAAGGTGCTTTGGCATCGCACGGAAAAGACTTGAGTTCGATTTCCTAGTGGAGATTATTTTTATCGAGTGTCTCGATCTTTTTATTAGGACGTATTCCTCTCAGCGGGGGTTGACTTTGAGCGTAGCCCGCCTCCTAAATATTCTAAATTGTATCAATGTGAACGCAAAAAAACATGACGTTCCTTTCAAAAGTCAGCCCCCCGAAGACTCAAACAAAAGTTATTAGCAAGAGATATTTGAAAAATTCAATCATTCATAAATGAATATTTATTTACTTGCGTTTCTTCATTAACTAATTTATTTCATAAAAAAAAATTTTTTTGTACATTTCTTTTTAAAAATATACATGCTGCAATTACGTCTTCTAAAACTTCCTCTTGGTCGGAAAGAAAATAAGTGGCAGTGAACTAGTTTGAGAACACGCTCCCAAATACACACGTCTACATAGCAATAAAGAGGCTAATGAAAAAAATCAATTAATTTTGTCACGTAATTTTCTACAACTGATGGTAACAACGTGCTCTGCAATTCTCTTTGAAAATTACTTATAAGAGTTGTGATTATTCGTTGAAGGAAAAGACAACCCTGATTCAATAGAGTTATTCCCTGCTTTCTCTGATGCAGTTTTTCCTCATCTGACAAATCCCGAAACGATCTGATAAATGCTTTGGTAACCAGATTAAGGCAACCCAACGCACGGGCAAGCTATAGTGCCATAGCTGGAAATCAAATTATTATGCTTTTGTATGGTCCTTGTCAGGACAACACTGACTTTAGACACAACTTGTTTTGCAAGAGCCAAGTATTTCCTTCTTGATCGCCTCATCGTCCAAGTACGAACGCCACAAACTTTCAGATTTGACAAATATACCAATACAGTAATATTATAATATTACCTGTATGGAGAACAGAATTGTTGCTTCTGTATTATTCTTGTCGACAAAATTAGGTACACCACCCCCCCCCCCAACTCTCTTTTAAAAAATGTAAAAAATGATACGAAAATAGACCCATCCTATTTTTGGGGGGCTGTTATATAAGACGATAATGTTGGATATGCAAGCCAATAATTAGTATTATTGTTAAAAGGCTTAAAACATAAATATACTGTGTCACATTTTTAAGTACACACATGTTGAAGCTCAATAAAACGAAATCTATACCACCAATTATTTTCAAATTTACGCACTGATTACGCGATATACCTGTCGCTGGTGAGCTGTTTTCATATTTCTGAACGCGTGAGTGGTTTTGTAACAGCATGCGTGTCACATATTTTGTGGGGGGTTTTTGGAGAATTATTCCTGATACGGCAATGATTTGTTTAAAAAAGAAGCACACATCAAAATCTTTGTCATTTTTGTAACAATTCGTCTGTGATAAAACTTGTGTCTACGTTCCATGATGCCACACCCAAAGAGAAAATGTGCGAAATCAGCTTGTTGGAATGATCCACGGGGTGCCTCAGTATCCACTGTTGTGAGATATTTTAATGTAACAAAAGAACTGTGTACACATCAATGGATAGTGAGAAAACAACAAAATCAGGAAAGGATCGACACCGCCAACGTGGGAGAAGAAAGACTACTCCAGGAGGATCTTTTTATACGCCTTTCGCATCTACGGAATCGTTTCAAAACGGCAAGACAAACCAGAGATGAGTTGAACAACACGCGACAACACAAGCCTCAGACACTTCCTCAACTTGATAGAGTATCGCATGAAGAATGGAATAACTTCCCTCAACAGGCAGTGCAGCGATTGATTGATTGATTCAAGGCGGCGACGATGTCAGGCCGTCATCAACGCTACTGATCGTGTTACTTTAGCAGACCACCCCCACACTCTTGTAAGTCAAGAATAAACCTGTTATGTTAACATTCCGTATTGTTGTTGTTTTCGTTTTTTAAATAGAGTGAATTCGTATTCCTGAAATTTTAAAGAATATCGACTCATTGTGAAACTAGCTATTTTCATTTTAACACAGTGTATACTTTAAAATGTGACAGAATATATATTCCATTTCTGTGCAATTATTTGTTTGATTTCTTAAACCACGATACTAAAGGTCATGTCCGAAGTATACTCATTGCTAACAAAACAGTTATCAAAAAAAGAGCTATATTATGTGAGCTTTCGATTACCATTAAACTATATTATGTCAAATGTGTTTGGGGAAAAAGAAGGAAGGGGGGAAGGTGAGAGTACAATCAGACATTTCTCCTTTTTGATTCATTACGTTGTTTCAAACTGTCGCTCGATTTGTCCTAGTTTCAGGGTTTTTTGTGGTGCTGATTTAATTGTTAGAATAATGCAAGGAGAGTCGAGGGGAATAGAAGCACCATTTGGGCAATACTAAATACATTTCAGATGACATCGCATATGAAACAGATGTCATGGAAATAAAAATACCATAAACAAGAACACAAGAAAACTAATGAAAGAACAAAGCAAAAAAGAACAGAAAAGAAAACACCCTCGCAAACATGCACACACATGCACACACACACATGCGCTATACACACATACACACATACACCCATACACACACACACACACACACACACACACACACACACACACACACACACATGATAACATATACACACATACACACATATACACACACACACACACATGAACACATATACACACATGAACACATATACACACATGAACACATATACACACATACACACATACACACACACATACACACACACACACACACACACACACACACACACGCACACACACACAAACACATGCAAACAAACAAACACACACAAATAGACTAGTAGAGAAAAGCCAACCCTAGATTTGAGGAGCCGTGAGATAAAGATGTGTGACACTTGATATGCA